TGTGGTGGTAACTCAGCTGTATTTGAGCGTATTTGTTGAAAAACAGTCAGTTTTGCCGTTATCGGAGGTTTTTGAAGGGACGGTCAGTCTTGTTTGAATGTAAAGTTTTTGTAGAAGAAAGTTAAATGGTGCGATTAGAGATCTGTATTTATTTAAGTGAACGTTATAAGTCGCGTTTGAGCGGAAGCGTATGCGATTAAGAAAAAGTTTTTGCACCATAAAAGGGTCATTGTAATTACAATCTAAGTCGAGATTCAAGTGCAGTCAACGAAGTGAAGTTTAGAAGCATCATCAGCTTAGTTTTTGGTTTATGTCTTAGTGGGCCTGTTTGTTGAAAAGCGCAACTTTATTTTTTGGTTTATTTATCGATCGCTTGTTGCGTGGTACATGTGTTATCGGGCCCTGAGTGGCTATTTTTATTTCAGTTTCGATTACATTTTGTTTTGTCTGTAAATTTATGCGTGTGTTTAATCGAGCCCAAATTACAAACCAGATAAGAGTTCTGAAGTTACATTTGCTCGTAGAAGGCGACTAAACAGCAGCAAGTCGGCCGGTGAGGTTTTCAGAGCAACGGGTAATTGGGGTTTGTCATGATTTTTAGCAATCATGATTTCTTTTCCAATTCGTGACGGTTAATTTAAAAGATTTTAGTCTCACACATGGCGAGTAACAGGGGGGAACCGGAGGGCCACTTACTTTACTTACTTACTTACTACTTACTTACAAGCACGGAAAAAGCATTTCTGGACGTGTAATGAACGATATTTTTTATTATACCTACTTCTTTTAAATCGATAAAAAAAACAACAAACTCGCTAACATTTTTATTTTGTAACAGTTATAGAACATGCGTTTTCATGGTTACTCTCAAATCATTTCAAAGGCGATTTGTTTAATTAGTTTATTTCAGATAAGTTTGACGAAACGTCAAAAAATGTCACAAATTCTCAAAGAAGTTTTATCTAAATATTCAAACATCTACGAATTAAAACGCAAAATGCTTACATATAAAACATTACAACGCATATAGATTTTCTGAAAATTAGTTTACTTCCTTGTAAATTTGTAGCAATAATTTGGGTAATTATATTCAGCGCACGGAAAGAATCAAAGGGACCGGGAATAGTATATTCTATAACGAGTATGGATAGAGTGTATTCCGCGCGAGTGGAAAGTTCGTCACACGAGCCGAAGGCGAGTGTGACGGTTCCACGAGCGTTGAATACCTATTCCTTACAAGTAATAGGTAGACATAATTTTTTCTACTACTACGACGAATTTTTGCAAAATATGTATAAAACAAGCAGGGCTAACGATAGACAATTCACACATTAGTAGGTACGTCTATGTACGGTGGGTTGGTATAGCAGATCCCTGTGGCATATTTGACAGATTCTAAATGGCTGTATAAACAATTTTCTCGACAATTTCTCTTCGCTCAATATTATCCAGAAAAGGGATACTAACTTTTCTGTGATATTAATTACAAATGTGCACATTTGTTGAATGTGTCCTGTCCTGCGCAGTGTATGAATCGGCGTGGATCATTTAGATTTAGATAAACGTAAACGATAAACGTATTCGATGTGTGCGACCGGTATGTAATTCATGATGTGCATTCAAATACAAAATGCTACAAAGAGGACGTTATGGATGCAAATCAGAAATAAACTCGAAAAAGTTGTATGTAAGTATCTACCGAGTGTAGGTAACATTTTAGTGAGCATTATATTTTAGGTTAGTTTTAAAACTTCCTGGAGGAAATGTGTTCTGGATGACCAACAATGTTAACTGTTTGGATCTGGATGTTCTTTTTGTATAGTGCAGTGAGGTATATTAATTCATTGTAGCAATATGCAACTTGATGTTTGGTTGTAGGTATACCAACGTGGGTCCCCCGTAATTGTAAACTTTCGTTGTACGTTAGTTTTCGTATTGGGTATTCTAATTACAGTTCTACAGTTCCACCTAAGTCTTGTATGTGGTCGATTTTTATGTTCCACGAACACAATTCGTGCTTACGACAAGCACCACTAATGCCAACTATAAGAGCAACCTTTAAATGTAAAATAGATATGATGTAACGAGTAACGATTTGAATGTGTAATGTTATAGTAGATATAAACTGTCGAGGGGGCTTTTTGAATAAACATTTTTACTTTGCTCGTTGATAGAATTTTTGAGCCGCTGGATTGCATTTTTAAGGCCTGCAACTTAGCATGCATAGCTGCTTATATCTACATAAATTGTTCAAAAGTATCGTAGACCGCACCATGGAATACGTTTTCCACAATGTGAATGCTTTAATTTCCTGTGATAGTTCGCTAAAGTAAATTAAGTAGCACTACGTTCTCTGAAAATGAGTTGGTTTTTTTCTTGATCCTCCACTCCAAAAATTTGCTGTATGTATGTTCCTACACTTTTGGTTTGTCATGAAGTAAATTTTTTTGCGTGTTCTGCTTCCGCGGTGATTTCCGGGGGAGTATTTGAAAGTTCCATTAAATCCTCACTGGCCACTGCTATTCATTTTCGTGCTACCGGCCCTTAAAATTCAAAATCTGGCGCAAGCGTAATTAAAATTTTGACAGTTTAAGAATTGTGCTTTAGGATGTCCTGTATTAGATGTCGCCACATGTGCTCATTCCACATAGATATATAAATACCTAGATACAGCCATCCTTAACAAACGTACCTCGGTTTTTAAAAAACATATCAAAGAAATTTGTACATCTCTCCATTACTTTCTAACCAAGAAGGAACATGTTCTATCTCTTTTTATTGCATTAACCACTATGTCGTACGCGAATCGGACGCTTAAAACAAACTTAGCGCGTCCCATAAGTCATGTGACAGTTGACACATTTCACGATCGCGCAAAATCAAATCTAACTAAAAATATTCGCCCTAAACATGATGGGCGGTTTTTTCACTAAATATTATGTAATTATTGCGTTATCAATTGAATACGAATAACATTAGTGCTTGCCATAATGATAGACACGTCCATAATTGTTATTCCTGAAATAGTTTTATTACATCGAACTACGCCATTCAAATTTGGGATAATGTTTACCCTGTTTGGCATGATGTGCTGCATTGAATTTATTGCTGGCTTGCAGAATATCAAAAAAACCGTAAGTAAGTAAAGTTTATGTTCAACATTTTAATTTTAATTGCATGGTTTTAGGCGTAATGGTAAAGGAAATTGTTGCGACAGGAAGTGAATTCGTTTCCAATTATTATTTTGGCCTATATGATGTTGATGCAGTGCGTTTGTATCATGATCACAAAGAAGGATCCGTCCAATATTCTTAGGAAAACGAGTTTTTAGACTGTGTGTGCGTGCAATATCAAATTTTGGTCGCTACGCGTCTTGCCTACCTTTCGGCATATGTCCATTCGGTGGGGTTTCTTTTTGAAATTATAGTACTAATTGTAGTAAGTAAGCTACACGTGTACATTTATTTAAAATAAATACAACACCTTAACAATGATATCCAATTGGTGATAATACTCATTTAGTGAACATTCATTACGTTTGTAAAAGCTCACAATCCGAATCATCGTCAGATGAAATTGACAAATTTGAATCATCACTGTCATTATTAACACTTAGGTATTATAAAGTTCAGCAACATCAACCAAATATAACTTCTCTTTTAAATTAATCACTTTCCACATGTTCACACACTTTCTTCCAGTTGTCAGCTGTAATTTTTTCAAATTCTTCATTTGCCAGCTTTATAAGTAACATCTTCCATTTTAAATGTAACATTTCTTGCTGCTATGCGATTTAAATAAATAAAAAGGCGGTTTATTTATGTTGTAAAGTTTCAAATCTGATAATTTTCTGTGTGATTTGTGCTAACAATTTGATTGACAGTTATAATAAATAATGCGAATCTTGTCTTCCATGCTCAGGGTACCTCTATAAAGGATAGCGCTATACGTAATTAATGTACCGAAAGTGATGGTAATAGATGGTACGTCCTTTTGAACTATGTTGGGGTATGGCTGTATCTATGTATTTATATATCTATGTCATTCCATCACAGTGTTTCCGTGCGCTAGCCTGGAAAAGTCCAGATACCATTATTTCTAATACAGGTGTAAATAAGGTGATTTCAATTAAGTATAATAAAAAAAAGTTTTTCCAGTACCTGTTAAAGAAGTTTGTTCACCATAAAAGGGTCATTGTAATTACAATCTAAGTCGAGATGCAGTCAACGAAGTGAAGTTTAGAGAAGCATCATCAGCTTGATTTTTGTGTTATGTCTTAGTGGGCCTCTTTGTTGAAAAGCGCAACTATATTTTTTGGTTTATTTAACGATCGCTTGTTGCGTGGTACATGTGTTATCGCGCCCTGAGTGCCTTTTTTTATTTCAACTTCGATTACATTTTGTTTTGTCTGTAAATTTATGCGTGTGTTTAATCGAACCCAAATTACAAACCAGATAAGAGTTCTGAAGTTAAATTTGCTCGTAGAAGGCGACTAAACAGCAGCAAGTCGGCCGGTGAGGTTTTGAGAGCAACGGGTAATTGGGGTTTGTCATGATTTTTAGCAATCATGATTTCTTTCCCAATTCGTGACGGTTAATTTAAAAGATTTTAGTCTCACACATGGCGAGTAACAGGGGGGAACCGGAGGGCCACTTACTTTACTTACTTACTTACTACTTACTTTACTTTCGAACCGTGTTGAGAAGGGATTAAAACTCCTTATTTTAGATTGAATTAACAAAACAATTGCGCACTATTAAGTAAGCACTTTATCGACAGTATCCGCGACTTTTCTTTAACCTACCGAACACGGTCGAGTGTGGTACAATCGTTACTTGATGCGACACCGTTGCCTTCTCACCTTGAACGAAACACGTATCTTTGTACCCATATACGAAAACATAAACATTTCCAATACTAAAAGTGCTGTTTGTGGGGTTCCAACCTCAGTTAGATTTACTCCCTATAAGCACTCGAAATCGTGTTCTTTATTTAAAGACTTTTAAGCCGAATACAGGACCTAAACGAGGAAGAAAATAGAAAGGACGTTTGCACCGGAAGTACATTTTACGAAAACAATCTTGTTAAAAAATACATAAGATACCTAATTAGACCGTAAATAATGAAGGAGAACGGAGTAGGAGGCAAGAAAGAACGTAAAGAGGTGTTAACCCCTAATTTCAAATTATAATCCACCACTAGATTTTAGGCTTAACGCCAACAAGGGGCCGTAATTAATTAATGGATGGGTATAATGCACCAATTTCCGCGTAGACAAGAACGCCAGTAAAAATCGAATTCACTCTAAATGTCAAACGTTCCCATCAGACATATTCTTAAATTTTAATTTCGGACGACTTAAGATTTTTTGGATTGATGGCGTTACTTATTGGAAACTTGGGAAATGAAATGGAATTGGTATTGTAGTGATAATAAATAGGTTTTAAAATCCGCGCTATCCTGAGGGAGAACACTAATAAAATGTCACCTAAATCAAGTTTAATAAAAAATGCGAAATAATTTACGAATTTTTCAATGTAGAATAAATTCTAATTTCCCGCATTCGGGTGAATTACAGCCAGAAATATCTTTTAACACAGTTAAAATTCCAGCTACACAAATCATTGCGTCGGCCTTAAACGGCATTGTGTTTCAATTCGGATTGGGTCACTGTTATTATTTTACACTGTATTGGGAAGCGGACGGTGGCCTAGCGAAAGAATAGAAGTTCATTAAAGTCAAATTTAGATATGAAATATTGACGTCCCTTTACCGAAAATTCTCATTATTTTTGCAATATTCATTTTTGACGTCTTCTTTTTTTTATTATTCTGTGTTCTTTGAAGGAGAAACATTCATTATATACGACCGAGTAAAACTTTCTCTCTGATGTAGAAAAATGCTAAACTAAACATTTTGCGTGATTAGTCAATTACAATTAGCTCAATGAAATCCCGGATGTGTTCAACTTGTTCATGTAAAAACAATTATTTTACTCCTGTGTAATTTTCAGTTGCTGCGTCTGCTACAAAAAATCCCAATATTGACTATTGACAATATTCCAAAGAATTAACAACACAAATTTTTATTAAAGTACCATTCGTGGACAAGAACAGAAAAATTTGCCATGAAAAGTCTATCCGGGTCGCACAAAGGATTCGACACTTAATTAATTGACGATGACAAAAATTTATTCCAAACACATGAAATGAAAAATTAAATCAAAGTTTCTGAAAGAAAGCTTACAACGCTTGGTTGGACAAATTAACCCGTACGCGGGCGTCCGAAAAATGAAATAAGATCTTAATAGTTATTTACGTTATAAGTCCGGTAGGTTACTTGTAACAGTACGAGTTCGACATTATGGACGAGGCGACGTCAGGAGCCGAGTCAAGAATGTCTTAAACGAGTACTGTTACAAGTACTACCGGACGTATATCGTAACGTATTTTATTTCATACTGTAAGTCTGTTTTGTATCATTATTTCATTTCAAAGATTACAAAATTTCATTATATTGTAAAAATCGCATTACCTTGTTTCTGTGGCAACGGCCGTTGCTATAGTTTGTGCTTTGTTGACATTGAATTTTTTTCACTGAAAAAATGGACGCTATAAACGTTGTGGGATGTTCCACTGTTCCCGATACAATCCTGTCGAAATCTCATGAAGCAACCGAAAAGTTGGTTCCTAAGAAATCGGCCGCAAGGTATGAAAAAGAGTACTAAGTGGTTTGCCAATTGAGGAACGAACATGGGGCGAAACAAGTAGAGGAAAACGTCATGTTGGCATACTGTTTGGATGCAGTAAGTTTTTGAATTGAGATTTTTTTGCCTGGGTTTCGGTGTTAAAGCGTCATGGGGCATGGAAAAGCTCATCGACGGCAGAAAAATATACATCGAAGGCTCGGTAGAAGGAAAAGTTAAGATTGGCCGTATGATACATACAACTGATACAAGGCGGCGAAAATTTCATTGAAGTTCTACAGCAGAAGGGATCAAACATTACTAACTCGACATCCAGTAATAACCCAGGCGTTAGTGTTGAGGGCAATACAAATTGTTTCATTACAATCAATGTTAATGTTTGAAATAAAGAATTACAGCCAAATTTATGTTGGGGTTTTTAATTAATTGTGTGAAGATGTCAAATTTGATGTAAACA